GTGTGTGTGTGTGTGTGTGTGTGTGTGTGTGTGTGTGTGTGTGTGTGTTGTCTTTCAGACCCTTGTGAACCTGTGTAGCCGGTCACCATGTAAAAATAAAGGCACCTGCACTCAGAGAAAAGCAGAGTCCCAGTGTCTGTGTCCGCCTGGGTGGACTGGGGCTTATTGTGATGTGCCCAATGTCTCCTGTGAGGTGGCTGCGTCGCGCAGAAGTGAGTCCTGGCTTCTGGTGTGGGTGGTGCTGACTCTAGCAAGGGTCGTCAGTACGAAGAGTGTGCAGTGGGAAGGAAGAGTGGGAGGATGAGAAGCTAGAGAATCCTGGTAGAGATGGAGAAGGGGCAGCGTAAGAGGAAAGGGTACAAGTCAACAGGATGAAGGGAAGCGGAAATCCCCAGTGGTGAGGTTTCCAGAGCCATGTGTGCCTGTAGAAGAATCCCATGAACACCACCTCTGACAGGTTCTAGAGGGGAACCCTGTGACTTCCCCAAGCCAGCCATTCCATTTTTAGGTAATTTTAAGAATTGTTTCCAAGTTCTTTCTTAGATAAATCTGCTTGTCTCCAGATTCCACCCTTCACTCCTAATTCTGCCCTCTGAGGCCTGGCAGAATAATTTTAATTTCTCTTCAAACATCTAAAAAGAGCTTTCATGCCCCTGCTTAAGTCTTCTCTTCTCCCAGCTAAACATTGCACCTAATTCCTTCAGCTGACCTTAATGTGTCATGATCATGAGGCCCTTCACCAACCTGGGCACTTTTCTTTGGACATTCTCAGTATCCTTCCTAAAACCTGGTGCCCAACACTGAAAATATAGGTCATATAATATGTTAGCTTTCCCTCCTAGCTTTGTGTCATCTACAAATTCAGTGCATGCTCTTGTCTAACTTACTGATACAAAGACCTAAAGACCCAGGTCCCCAGGCAGGTCCTGGAGATCCTACGGTAGAGGCTTTCCAAGATAACTGCTCCTTGCATTCAATCATTCAGCCAGTATGGAATTCATTTAACTCTGCTGTCGTCTAACACACAGCTCTCCACCTTGCCTGAAAAAGTAGGCTCTTAGGTGTCCTTATTTATCATGAATTTTGCAAATTCTGCAGCTGTAGTGGTCACTAGAGAAAGAAATGTCGAGTCCAGAGTCTTCACTCCAGTCCTTTTCAAAGGTATTAATTTTGCTAAAATAAAAAAGTGACTGTGAAAAGCTGCTGAAGGGTAGAGGCTTTCCAAGATAACTGCTCCTTGCATTCAATCATTCAGCCAGTATGGAATCTATTTAACTCTGCTGTCGTCTAACACACAGCTCTCCACCTTACCCCCCGCCCCAAAATAGCATGAGATGCTTTGTCAAATCAGGTAAGGATAGGAACTAGATCTTTGATTTCATTGTTTGAGGAAAAACCCTCTACTAATGCAGGTCATCACCAGGTCTTCCTGACTCTGAGGCCAGCTTTCTATCTGGTATGCCATACTACCTCTCAGTTAATTGCTTTTTCCAAAGTCTGGGTGACTCAGATCCATTTGTTCCCCTCATCTGTGAGTCTGGTGACCTTCCCCCCACAAAAGAAAAATGGAATTAACCTGGCATGGGTTCTTGGCGAAACCATGGTGATTCTTTGTGATCACTGCTACCTTTTCCATACGTTTATAAACCATCCCTTTAATGACACATTCTATAATTTTACCACGAATAAGTTAGACTTACTGCTCTCAAGTTTGTAGACTTTACTCACTTTCCTTTTTTGAAAATCAGAATATTTGCCCTTTTCTAGTCCTACAGGACTTTTCCCACTCTCCATGGTCTTTCGGAAATCACTGACAGTGACTCACTCTGCAGTCACATCTGTCAGCTTTCTCAGTGGCCTTAGATGTAGCACATCACGTTCTATCACTTAAATCTTGGTTACTTATAAAAGCAGGAAAGAATTCATAATTAGGAAAAACCAAGTAGAAGTCAGATATTGAGTGAATCTGAAAATCTGCTGTATACTGTCTTCCAGCTGTTAGTGATCCCCTTTACCTAAAATGAAGCCTCTCTTCTCGCATCATAATTTTGTTACTTGAATTAGAGTTGTTTTTTGTCTTACTCCTGTCTACTAATGGAAAACGTGTCTTCATTCATCTTCATATGCGTTATGCATTGCACATTTTAGGCATTTAATAAATGTTTACCAAGTTAAATTGATTTGGACTTCTTGTTTTCCTCTTTTCATAGTGTTGTAAACTAGAAACAGTAAAGGTTGCATCTAATCTTCATTCCCCACATATTTTTCTTGATATCATTTTAAATGTTTTAGGATGGTGCGCTAGAAAGAGCCCTGGATTTGGAGTCAAAAGATACAGTTTCCATTCCCAACCATACCATTTACTAGTTGTGTGACCTTGGGCAAGTTACACCATCTTTGAGCCTGTCTCCTCATCTACAAAATGGAAATAATAAACATTCCTAATTTTGCACAATAGTAGGGTTGTTGAAATGAAACCTCCTTTTCAATCATATAGCAATATAGAAATGTAAGCAATGATAGAACCGTTTAACTCTTCTGACACCATCTCTAGTTTATGAAAATTCCAGACGTCAATAAAAACACAAATTTAAAATCTGTTTTTTCTCACCTAAATTGTCTGTTAGACTTTTCTGCTCTCACTGCCTTCCCCCCGCCATCTCCCCATGACCCTGGTGATGATGTTCAATACACTGTTTTACTTGAAATGAGAGTGAACTCTTCTATTTTCATGCTTTGTCTGTTTTTAGCATTAGATTAGATGGGTCTGAGAGGTAGGAACTGAAGATAAAATGGAATTTCTGGGTTGCTTTTGATCATTTGCTGTTTTTTGAGCTTACCCTTGCCTTGTGTCATGTGCTACTCTGTGATGCAATTCTGCTTCTCTGTTATTCCATAGAAGTGCCTGTTGATCGCCTGTGTCAACACTCTGGGACATGCATCGATGCTGGCAACACTCACCACTGCCAGTGCCCCCTGGGCTACACAGGCAGCTACTGTGAGGACCAGCTGGATGAATGTGCCTCCAATCCCTGCCAGCATGGAGCCACATGCAGAGATTATGTTGGAGGCTATAGATGTGAGGTGGGCAAGACACTAACTGTGCCCTCTGGTGGGCTGCCTTCTGGTCAGGGTCAGAGGTTTACTTTAATAGCAGATTTTTCTGTGTAAAATCAAGATAGAATTTAGCATAGTTTGTTTTTGACAAAATATATTGATTATTTGTTTTATTTATTCTAACTTCCCATGAATTACTAATAGTTACTAGACTGTAAAGTTCATTAGGATAGGAATTATGTCTTACCTAAACTTTGCATTTTTCCCACTGCCTAGAAAGATGCTCTACATAGTTTAAGTGCTTAGTTCTTAATGAATTGGATCAACTTCTGGAGGCCCCTCCATTGGTATCTAGAATCATCCTTTTTCTACTGAGTTACCTCCAATGCCAACATGATCCCAGAGAAGATACTACAATTTCATTCCAAACCCAAATCTCTACCTTTGGAGGAATTATATAAACCCCTGGGGTCTTCTTGGGTATTTCTGTGGGGACATCTTATGGCTAACCACTCCCACTAAAGAATGTCCATTACCTACCCCACCCCCATTTTTGGTTTGTATTTTCATAATATACAAACATTGATCATTATCCCTATCTCTTGGTTCTTTTCCTGCTACCTTCAGACATATCTAGGTTTCCCCCATCCTTTAAAAAAAAACAAAACAACCTTTACTAGGTCCTACCATTCCATTAGGTATCATTCAATATCTCTTTCCCTTTTTTCAGTCAAATTCTTTGAACAATTCTATTTACATTCATTGCCTCATTCATAAATTCTGGTTGAATGATTAAATTGCATCAGATTAAAAGCTCGGGCACTTGTTTCCTTCATTAACTTATCCATTTTTCAAGGATGTAGTCAAATACCAGCAGAGACTTGGACTGTTCTAAACAAACTGGAAAACAAAATAGGAAAGTCTGACAACCATGGATTGATGAAAGTGTACAGAGTTTCTCAGCTACTCTCTTAGTCTGTGCTCTAATGGTCCTATCACCCATGAGTGATCTTTTTTTTTTTTTTACCCCTGCCAACAGTGTGTACCAGGTTACCAAGGTGTCAACTGTGAATATGAGGTAGATGAATGCCAATACCAGCCATGTCAGAATGGAGGGACTTGCATTGACCTGGTGAACCATTTCAAGTGTTCCTGCCCACCAGGCACTCGAGGTATGTATGACATAGAATGGACATTTCTAGAGGGAGGGTAAACCCAGCCATTAAAGTCTACCCTATTCTCTCAGCTCTTAGGGAGCTCCATTGTGACTTTTAGAAACATCTTGTTTTTCGTTGACTTTAAGAAGTTGGGAAAGGAGACCTGTCCTAAATTCGCTTAACATAGAATGGAAAACTGTGTTAAATAATTAAAGAATTCTCTAAATTCCATATCGTAGTTAGCTTGGACCTAAGCATAAATGTTAATGGAAAGATGTGGGTTCTATGGATGCTTTCCTTTATTTGTTTGTTTATTTTATCTTGGGTCAGATCATACTCATCTTGAGAGTATTTTGAACTCTGCATGTTTTCACGAAGCACAAGAATAGTTGCTTGGATCAGCCTGTTACGAGAAGTATAGGAGAGCTTAGCAGTTTATTTGCTTGGGTGACAAAGAAAAACAGGTCAAGAACAATGTCGTGTACCCTGACTCAACCCTCTGAAGTAGTACATTTTGATCACCGTCCTCTTAGAAATGTCTTGTTTTGATTTTAGGAGCAGATTAAAACATGTCCATGTGCTCATCTGCCCTAATGTATGAGTCTAACAAGGAACGAGGTGACAGGAGAAATCTTAAGGAGTGGCATGATGGCTCCTGAAATATTTCCCTAAATCAAAGATTCTGAGTTGGAAGGGACATTAGGGGCCATCCATGCTGGCCTGTGTCTGCAACCATGCTCAGTGAGTGGTCATCCAGCCTTTATTTGAGGAACTCTGATGAGGAGAACCCACTGCTTCAGGAGGCATCCCATTCCACTTTTGGGTCCTTCTAATTGTGAGGGTGGTAGGAAGAAATGTTTGTCCTGATATTAAGTCTAAAATGACTTCTTTGCAACGTCCACCTACTTTTCCTGGTTTTACCTCCTTAGTCAAGAACAAATTTAACCCATTGTCTACATGCCTGTAGACATTTGAAGAGAATCATCATGTCCCTTCTAAGCCTTCTCTAGCCAGATATCTGCAACTAAAGATATCCACCTTCTTCAGCTGATCCTAGTATGCCTTGTTGCTATGGCCTCTGGATATTTTAGCCTTCATCTTCTGATGCCTTGTCAGAGTTCTTCTCCCAGGGCAAACCACAGTGCCCCAAGGGTATTCTGACCAGGCCAGAGGAAAGTGGGGCTGGCTGTCCCCTTCATGCAACGTGGAATTGAGTTCACTTTTTCTGACTGCCATATCATACTGTTGACTTATGTTGAGTTTGTACTTCATCAAAATTAACTGTTAGCTAGCAATGTCTCTGTCATCTTGTACTCAATGAAGTTGTTTTTTGAACCCAAGTGTAAAACTTTGTTTATTTTTATCGTGTCATCCTATTAGAATTGACCCATTGTTCTAGTCTAGTGGTTCTCAAATATTTTGACCTCTAGACCCTTTTACACTCTTAAAAATTACTTGGGTTATATTTATTGATATTTACCATATTAGAAATTAAAATATCTTAGCATTGTTATGAAAGTAAGTTTGATCCCCTAAAAGGGTCTCAGAGATTCCATGAGGTCTCTTGACCACACTTTGAGAACTGCCCTATCATCATCATCTTTCTGGATCCTGACTCTGGCATCCAGCATATGAACTATCCTCCTCAGCTTTGGGTTATCTGCAAATTTGACAAGCATCCTGTGTGTGTATGTGCATATATATACTATATATGCATATATATATTTGGATATTCATCCAAAACAATGATAAAAATGCTGAACAGCTTAGAGTTAAGTACATGTCTCATGGATACCACTCAAGACTGTCTTCCAGGTTAGCATCAACACATTCATGACTACTCTTGGGATCATGACATTTGAAAAGGGGGTGACTTGATCTGTGTAGGTCTAGAATCCAAGGGATAGCACTTCTTTGGAAACAGGTTTTGGTTCAGTTTAAGGAGGCTTTCTTATCTGAGCTGTTAACCTTGTGATGTAGAGAATTCTTAACCTTGGCTGTCCTATGGACTCTGTCATTTTTTGACCTTTCACTGCTTCTGTTTCTTTATCTTCAAAGAGGGATGATTATCCCTGCAGTGATCACATGCATATGGACTTAGAGCCATTAAGAATGAAGGTCTTCTCCAAAGATAAGGTGGTCTTATTCAAAGACCAGTTTCCAGTACAGGGGTTTTTTACATACAGGAGACTTTCAGTAAGCATTTATTGATAGCGAGGATAATGATGATGACAAAAGAAGGAGAACCCAGGTCTTTATATTTCCTTTCTCCCTAATCCCTGAGTGCCCTGGCATCTGGGGAGATTGAAACTCTTGTTCCCTCCAACTTATTTTGTCCAAGTGATTCATCTCTCTTCACCATTTAATTTCTAGAAGTGTGTTTGCTACTTTACCGCAATACTTATGTAACCACAAAAAAAAAAAATGCCTGTTTTGTGTAGCGTGGAAATGATTTTAATTGATCCTGACCTCCTCCAGGGGGTTTAAGCCTAGAGGAAGAGGTCATGGTACCTCTAGGTGGCCCTTGAGGAAATAGCTAGTAGCATACTGCCATCCCCTACTCCTGTCTTTCCTTCTCTCTCCCCTTTCTTGTTTCTTCTTCTTTCTTTCCAGTCCTTTCTCCCTCTGTTCTTGGGGCCTGCTTGTGGTTTAGTGGAAAGAGCAATGCATTGTGACTGAGGATACCCCCGTTTTTGTTCCTGACCTGCCATTTACTGGTGAGTCACTGAACCTCCTTACCTTCCTCCTCTGTAAATGCGGGGGCATTAGGCCTAGGTGATCTTGAAGGGCTCTTCAGACTCCCCAGTTCTTCATTCCGTTTTCCTCTCCTCCCTCTCCTTGTTCCTTTCTTCCTGGCTCTGCTTGGCCTTGCTCATAGATCCCATGAGAATTGCCTTTCCATAAAGTAGTGACGGATAGCCACAGCTAAGCAGGTCACTGATCCCTGACCTAAAAGATCCCCCTGGGTTGAGTTATGAGATCTTGAGAAGCTCTGAAAGAGTCTGAAGAAGAGCTGACCTTTTGCTCAGTTAAGTCGCCACGGTGACTCATGTTTCCTCTCTCTTCCAGGCCTACGGTGTGAAGAGAACATTGATGACTGTGCTCCCGATGCAGGGGGCCCTCACTGCCTCAATGGTGGGCAGTGTGTGGATAAGATCGGTGGCTACACCTGCCGTTGCCTTCCTGGCTTTGCTGGCGAGCGTTGTGAAGGGGATATCAATGAGTGCCTCTCCAATCCCTGCAACCCTGAAGGCAGCCTGGACTGTATCCAGCTCATCAACAACTACTCATGCATCTGCCGGAGTACCTTCACTGGTGAGCGGGCCCTGTGGGTCGCCCTCTTCACACGTGTTGAGTCCATCAAGCTCAGTAAGGCCTGGAGTAATGGCGGCTTGGACCTCCCTCTCAGAGAGACAGCTGGCCTCCTGCTTAGATGTTGTGGGAGGGACAAGCCTAGAACCCAAGTCCTGGCATTTTCCCCTTAGGTGACTTGGTCAACAGACTGTATGACAACCATCATCCATCTTTCATTACTTCTAGTCTTTTTGAAAGATAGTGTACACTCACCCACTCCCTTCTGAGCTCCCATAATCTGGCTTCCACCCCTACCACTCCACTGAAATAATTCTTTTTTTTTTCTCCTTCATTTAATATTTTATTTTCTCCAATTACATGTAAAAACTATTTTTAACATTCGTTTTTTAAAATTTTTGAGTTCCAAGTTCTCATCTTCCTCCCTTCCCTCTCCACTCATTGAGAAGGCAGGCACTTAAATATAGGTTATACATGTGTAGTCATGCAAAACATGAAATGAGTCTCTTGAAAGCTGAGAGATTATGTAGTCCAGCCCACACCTGAACAGAAATCCCTTTACAATGCCTCTGACAAGTGGGATGGAGGTGCCTCTTCTATTTAGGGCTATTTCTGATTGTTAGGAAGATTTTTCTTACATGACATGAGACTCTTCCTACTCTTCTGGCCCATCTTTCTTGGTCACCTTCCCTGGTTTCTCTCATTCCTTAAATGTCAGCTTTCCTTAAGGTTCTGTGTTTGGTCCTTCTTTTGCTAGTCTCTCTTTTTCATTTAAGTGATCTCATCCATTCTTGTGGCTTCAGCGATCATTTGTGTAGAGATGACCCCCCAAAGCTAGAGGAGGAGGAGGCGGTGATATGTAGTCCGGAAGACCTGGCTTCAAAGCCAGCCTTTGACACGTCCTACCCGTCGTCTACTAAACCTGCAGTGAAATCACTCAGAACCTCAGTTTCCTCATCTGTAACATGGGAATAATGCCTGTAGCACCTACCTCACAGTATCGTGCTGTGAGACCCAAATGAGATAGTAGATGTAAAGCACTTTGCCAACCCTAAAGCACAAATATCAACGTTAGCGTTATCATCATTGTTCTTAGTAGCTCTGAGAGGGAGGTTCAAGCCGCCATTACTCGTGAGCTCCAGACTGTGTTTTCAGCTGCCCACTGGTCATGTCTTTGTGGCATCTCAGATTCTACACATCTTAAAATTGAACTCATCCTCTTGTCCTCCAGATCTGATCATTTTTCTCTTGTGTTCCTCCTTCCTGTTAACAGTACTTTTATGAAACCTAGAAGTAAGTAATATTTGCCTCCTTTGGACCCCTGCTGCTGAATTTTGTAGATTCTTCTTGTGTAACATCTGTCTTGTCCTTTCCGTTCCCGCCGTCCCCTCCTCCACATTAATTCTCTTTCTCGTAGGTCTTTCATAGGAATTAGAAGAGGAGGCTCTTTCTCTGGTTTCCTCCTCCTCCGGGCTTTCCTGCCCCAATCTGTTCCACTCCAGCGTGGTTAGGGTATCTTTCAAAAGCGCAGGTCTGATAAAGTCCCTCTCCTACAAAGAAGTTTTCTATGCCTTCCCTTTGCCTATTAAATGAAGTGTGGATACTTTCTTACGGCATTTAAGGATCTCAGCCCGTTTCTCCACCCATATCTTCTACTGTTGCCTCCCATGTTCTTCAGGGAGTTTGCTTCAGGCAAACTGAATTCATCAGTATTCTGGGATCATACTGTATGCTCACCTGCCTCCACAGTCTTGTTTATCCTTTGCTCTGGCTGGAACATCCTTCCCCCAGATTTCCACCTCCATTCGAGGGCAACTGGTCAAGACAGCCAGCAGAGGGCAGCCTTGTCACATGGCATTGAATCGGTCGTTCAAATCCACAAAGCATTTAGGAAGCATTCCCTGTGTGTGTACAAAGATGGAAAATGACACAGTTCCTACCTTTGAGGAACCCATAGTATACTAAGGGACAGACAACATGTATTCACATAAGGGTGATACCAGGTAGAGTGTGTTACAGCTGTAGGAGAGATGCAGACAGAACTCTAGGAATATTTGAAGAGGAAAATCACTAGCCCTTCAAGGATAACCCAGGGTCAAGGAGAGAGGTCAAGGAAAGCTCTGTGGATTAGGTAAAGTTGGAGTAAGTAAGGGAAGGATTTCAACAAGGAAAGATGAGGATGGAGTGCACTCTGAGCATGGGAATGTCACTCATAAAAGCAAGAAACCATAGGCCAAGATCAGGAACAGCTCCTGGTCCACTTTTGCTACAAAGACAGTATGTGGGTAGTGGTGTCTAAAGGTAAATTGGAACTAGGTTATCGAGGATCTTACCTGCCAGGATTATTTTGGCAGGTGTGCTAAGGTGAGAGTTGTAGGTAGGAGACCAACTAAGAGTCGATTTACAATAGAATGGGTGATCGATATTCAGGTTATGAATGAACTAAGGTGGCCCCGGTGTTAGGGGAGAGAAGAGGACAGGTACAAGAGAGTGTTTTGAAATTGGTAGAATTGACAGGACTCAGTCCCTGATTTAATGTAGAGAAGGTAAAAGAACCAAAAATGACGCAGGTTGAGAGCTGGGGCAAGCGGGAGGAAGGCGATACCGTCAAAAGAAATAGGGGATCTTTAAGAATGGGTGGGTTTGGGGAGAGAAGCTGATGATTTGAATTTGGGATCATTTTAATTTGAGGTGTCAGTAACACATCCAGGTGAAGTTGTCCAAAAAGTAGTTGGTGATATGGAATTGGGTTCAGATGAGAGATTAAGAACCTTCCCTGTGGGAGTTAAATGTTCCCTTGTCAGAGTGTACAGGGAAATCTTGTTCAAGTACAGTTGCATTAAGTGATCCCTGATCTGTTTTTAATTGAGATTCTGGAATTATATTTCTCTTGGAAAGTGAGGGCCCAGTCGGGGGCCTCTGATCCAAACTCATCCTCTTTTTGGAGGGATGTAAATATCTTTTAGGCCCGTAGGATGTTAGTCAATATAGGAAGAGGCAAGTTACTAAATGATTCCCCGCAACTCAAGATTCAGTGACGTGTCGTCTTTGTTGGGCAGAGAGAACCATTCCTTCCTCCTTTTCCTTCCCCCTTTTCCCCCAGCCGTTACTCTTTGGTACCTGGCTTTGTGTTCCTTCCCTCTTCCTACAGCTTCATGAAGGTGGGGCTTCACATGCCTTCCTTCTCTTCCCCTCCTCTCTGCTCCCCAGCTCTGTAACCATTGCCCTACCCAGCCCTATCCCTGTAGATGTTGGGGCAGTTTGAAGTTACCCTTCGAAGCCCACTTTTTGCCGTACAGGCTGACATTGTGAGACACTCTTTGCCTTACAGGCCGACACTGTGAGACCTTCCTGGATGTCTGTCCCCAGATGCCGTGTCTGAATGGAGGCGTTTGTGCAGTTGCCAGCCACACACCCAGTGGCTTCATCTGCCATTGTCCTCCGGTAAGTGTGTGGTGACTTAGACTTCCCCTCCTGGCTCTTCCACTTGCTCTCCTCAGATGACATCACCTCAGATGAATTTCTGACACCATAAAATGAGTCTCCCTCTAGCACCTATGTTGTACTGGAGGAGATTTCTTGCCTCTGCTACAGGCCGTGGCCTCAGTAAAGTGGAGATTGTGGAGGACCAGCAAAGACCAGAGTCAGACCTACCAAATGAAGCTGAGCTTGAGTCACCTACAAGTGCTTGGGGCAGATGCTTAAGAAATTGCTGGGTATGGGGCAGCTAGGTGGTGCAGTGGATAGAACTCTGGCCTTGGAGTCAGGAGGACCTGACTTCAAATCCAGCCTCAGACACTTGATGCTTACTAGCCGTGTGACCCTGGGCAAGTTGCTTAACCCCGACTAGCTCACCAAAAAAGCAAAAAAAAAAAGAGAGAGAAAAAAGAAACTGCTGGGTATCCCAGAACTCTCAGGGTGATTTATTTCTCCTCTTAATAACTGCAGGTATTCACATAGTAATTAGAAATGGGAACCTGGATTGTGAATGGGGCCAGGGTTGGGGGGTGGGGGTGGTTGAGAGGATGTTGCATCGTTAACATAGCACCATAGGGCCCTTGACTTAGAGCTGGAAGGTTCCTTTGTGGATATTTAACCCAACTCCCTTATTTTATTGATGAGTAAACTGGGACCCAGAGCCCAAGCTCACACGGATGGTAAGTGGCTTGAATTCTAACCCAGAAGCAAATTCTCATAGTTGGAAGGGACCGCAGTGGCCAGCTGTTCTAGCCCATGCCCAAAAAAAAATATTCTTTATTTAATATTTCTTCCAAGTCATCAGTCCTGCAACTTTTGCTTGATCTCCAGGGAAGGGGAACCCACTACCTCCATCTCTACTTTGGCGCAGCTCTCGTTGGGAGGAATTTTTTTCCTTTCCAAGGCAGCACAGCTCCTGTTGCACAGTATGGTTGTCCTCGCGTCCCTTGAGGCTCACAGCCTTACCTTCCTCTAGGTTGGCATTGGGTCCTATGACTCTGTCTGTGGCATGGCCTTTTCAGCGGTAGCTGAAGGGCAAATGGCCTTGTTCCTTGAACAGTGGTTCTGGAGGCAGTCCTGCCCCAATTGGTGTGAGCAGGCTCTGCCTGTGTGGGAAAGGTCTATCAGGAAGAGATGGAGCTGTGGGCCTTGCTGTTCTCTTGGCCTTCATCTTCTGTTTCTCTCCAAAGGGCTTCTCAGGGGCAAGATGCCAGAGTACCTGTGGACACATGAAGTGTAAGAAAGGGGAGCAGTGTGTGCACACCACCTTGGGGCCGCGCTGCTTCTGCCCCCGGCCTGAGGACTGTGAGACGGGTTGTGCTAGCAGCCCGTGCCAGCATGGCGGCAGCTGCTCTCCTCAGAGGAAGCCGCCTTATTATACCTGCCAGTGCCCCTCGTCGTTCTGGGGTAGTCACTGTGAGTTCTCCACGGGCCCCACCAACAGCCCCCCGGCCACGTGCCTGAGCCAGCACTGTGTCGACAAGGCGCGGGATGGCATCTGTGACGAAGACTGCAACAGTCACGCCTGCCAGTGGGACGGGGGCGACTGTTCGCTCACCATGGAGGACCCCTGGGCCAACTGCTCCTCCCCGCTGCCTTGCTGGGATTACATCAACAATCAGTGTGACGAGCTGTGCAACACAGCTGAGTGCCTGTTCGACAACTTCGAATGCCAGGGCAGCAGCAAGACGTGCAAGTAAGGGCCCCGTGGGGGTCCCGGGAAGGCTCGCGGCAGCTCTGTCACTAACCCACGCCGGTCTGTCTCCCTTCTGCTCCTAACCGCTCCGGCTGCCTCTGCTTTGTAGACCTCCCCGCCGGGGCCAGGCCCCACCACACCACCCTCCCTTGCTGACAGAGGCCCAGGGAGGCTCATCCGTGTGCACCTTCACCCCCCTTCTCTCTCTGCCTCTGCCTGTCTCTGCCTTCTCCCTTGCTGCTCTCTTGACCTCCTGGGAGAGATAACTTTTGGAAGCGGTGTAACCCTGCTCCTAGGCGGCCTCCTACGCTAACCTGCCTGCGGGATGGATGGAAAGGTCTGTACTCCCCTCACCCACCCTTCCTCTCTGTCCCATTCACCCACCTCTGGTTCCTTCCATTGAAATCCATTAGGAGAGTCTAATCAGAACTAGACAAAAACTCACCGTGGCAACATAAAGGGATCCGTGGTGTGGAAAGAGCCGCACGCCACCCAAAACTATTTTGTTTCCCAAGCCCCACTAGCTGAGTTTTTTAACCTCCTAATTAATATTTAATTTAATAGTACTTATTTATTAATTAATAATTTAAATATTTGGTAATATTTCTCTCTTACTTCTAACCCAATCAATGGTTAGGCAACAAAGAATAGAAACCCTTTAATGCCACAGGTGTAAAAGATAGGGGGAACTTGCGGCCTTGAGGCCACATGTGGCCTTCTAGGTCTTCAGATGTGGCTTTTTGACTGAGTCCAAGTTTTACAGAATGAATCCTTTTATTAAGGAGATTTGTTCTGTGAAGTTTGGATTTAATCAAAAGGCCACACCTTGAGGACCTAGAAGGCCACACGTGGCCTCGAGGCCACAGGTTTCCGGAACCCTACTATACTCCTCAAAGTATTTCTAAAGCTACCACGTCTGATTTGATTTTTTAATAACTCCAGGGCTTTAGGTTAAAGCAGCTGATATCTTGCCAAGGAAGTAGACACACATGGGGGCAAGATGACCTGTTCCAAGGGACACAGCTACTTTGTGGCAGAAGTGAAAATCAGACCCTCTTGCCCTCCCATCCTTGACGCAGTGTTCTCCCCACCACATCTGGCAATGAATGCCTGACGTAGGCCTGGCAGTCTCCAAGAGCCTCTTGGTTCAGGGGCCAGTATCCACTGCACGTAATAGTCCTGGTGCCAGACATTACAAGGATTGTGACCTCCACCTGGTCCATCTCCATATCCATTTGGGGAAAAAATGATTACCAACCCTTGAGTGTTCAGAGTGATTATCTAAGCCTCATTTTCCCTCTCGTTCTCCCTTCCTACCTTTCGACTATTTTTTTACATTACTGTCCCATCCGAGAGCAATGGAAATAAAAGTTGGGGAAAGTCAAACCAACTGATTTTGGACTCCCTTTTTTTGGCTCTGCCCAACATCTTTTGGGGAAAGAGCTTGAGACTTGAAAATGAAATTGGAGGCTTATCTCAGGATTTGAATTACGCTACGGATGATGAGGAGTTGGCTTGCCTTTGAGGCAGAAGTAGCTAATGGCATGTAACACATGATGTTTACTCAAACAGGATTTAGATTAATGCCAAGAGTTCATCCATAGCATCCTGAGATAGGACCTGGGAGTTGAGACTTCACCATTCATTCGTTCATTCTTTTCATTTGACGTGTATTTATTGAATGTCTGTTCTGTGTGTAGCTCTGAGCTAGGCAATTTAAGCATACTGGGAGAAAAAAGTGTAAATTCTCCAGACTTATAGTGTCGTGGAGAAGGCAATACTGAGGAATCCTTTCAAAAGTAATATAAAACAGTATATTATTAAGTGCTGAAATGAAGATATTACCTCAATCAAAATGAATGGTATGGGACAAGAAGTGTTACGGGAGATGAAAAGAGGAAGCAATTAGCAGGAATTAGAGTAGTTAAGGGAGGCCATTAAACTTAAGCTAGCCCTCCAAGATGGGTAAGTGAACTGGTGGCAGTTTTGGTGGAAAGACAGACAGTTGTGTCCACTCCTAAGCCTTTCTCTTCTTTCTCTGTTCTCCCTGCCCTCCTCCTTCCTAGATATGACAAATACTGCGCTGACCACTTCAGTGATAACCACTGTGACCAAGGTTGTAACAGTGAGGAGTGTGACTGGGATGGGCTGGACTGTGCCACCGACCAGCCCGAGAACCTGGCTGAGGGCACCCTGGTCATTGTGGTGCTGCTGCCCCCTGAGCAGCTGCTCCAGGACGCCCACAGCTTCCTTCGGTCACTGGGCACTCTGCTTCACACCAACCTGCGCATCAAACGGGACTCTCAGGGGGCCCTCATGGTGTTCCCCTATTATGGTGAGAAGACGCCGGCAAACAGAAAGTCAACAGTGAGCCGGAGGTCCCTCCCTGATGAGCAGGAACGAGAAGTGGCGGGGTAGGCTGATTACTGAATCAAAGATAATTCATCATCATCATTAATATTAAAACATCTGTACACAGAGATCCATTCAAAGTGCAAATTTCAAACAAAACACATTTAACTCAGTCCATAAGATGACTATATATATATATATATGTATTGTTGTATCTAAAATAGACCATTTATCTAGAGCAGTATCTGCCATGTCTATTCAACAGATATAGAGTTTCCATGGAAGACTGAGTCATGGTTTTGTGGTGTGATTTGAGTACATAAGGACAGTCAGTTCATATCTCCCCTCACCACCACCCTCCCCTCCCAAGCTGTATAGGTGCCTAAAATTCCACTGGTAGTCCTTAACATTTTTTTTTATTCAGCTTTGCCCTCTCTAGGTACCCTTTAACACGAAAATGTCCTGAGAGTAGAGTAGCCCATTACCAGTCACACACCTTAGTCTGAATTAGTTTATCCAATGCTCTCTTTCATGACTACTAAGTGAAATCAGTACAGTAAGGGAATGAGGAAGGAGAAGTGTTTCAAGCATGGGGCAGGTTTGGAGAAGGGCACTCTAGTACCACTGAAATCCAATAGAAGATTGTTGAGGACAAAGACATAAAGGGCTGAGGTGCTAAAGACAAGCTTTCCCAGTTTTGGTCTAGGGCCAACAGGCTGGCCCTGCATCAGGGGACTCTAGAGGCAGGGGGCCAGTGCCTGAGCTTTTTCTAAAATAACACCCAGAAGTGAATAGAGTGGTGATGGGCCCACAGGAAACAGGGCATATTGATCCCTTTCTGATGTGATGACTGCCAGACTTTGGTCTCTTTCACTGAGCTCAGGCTAAGCGCTACTCTCATTCTCTCTATTCTATCTTATAGCTCCAAGGTATTCCTAGAAATTGACAACCGCCAGTGCGTCCAGGCTTCAGACCAGTGCTTCAAAAACACTGATGCTGCTGCAGCCTTTCTGGCCTCTCATGCCATCCAAGGCACACTCTCCTATCCTCTTGTATCTGTCTTGAGTGAGTGGCATGGGCATTGGCCGAAGGGAGAGGGGAGTGTGGAACGGGATGGGGCTGGAAGGGGAGGCTTATCACTGCAGAGGAGAAGGGAATATGCATACCTTGGAGTGTAGGTAGCCCCTTGATTTTTTTTCAAGAAAGGGACATAATGCTTGGGAAGTTGAAATGTACTAAGCAGGTGCTGGCTAAGAAATAAGAGTGGTAGATCAGTGGAATAGGTTAGGTACACAAGACACAGTAGTCAATAACTAGAGTAATCTATTGTTTGATAAACCCAAAGACTCCAGCTTCTAGGACAAGAACTCACTATTTGACAAAAACTGCTGGAAAAATTGGAAAACAGTGTGGCAGAAGCTAGGCAGAGACCAACATCTTACACTGAATACCAAGATAAGGTCAAAATTGGTACATGATTTAGACATAAAGGATGATACCATAAGCAAATTAGGACAGCAAGGAATAGTTTACCTTTCAGATCTATAGAGAAGGGAAGAATTTATGACCAAACAAAAGATAGAGAACATTATGAAATGCAAAATGGATAATTTTGGTTACATTAAATTTAAAAAGTTTTGCACAAACCCAATGCAACCAAGATTAGAAGGAAATCAGGAAACTAGGAAACAATTTTTACAGCCAGTGTCTCTGATAAAGGCCTCATTGAAAAATTTATTTATTTATTTGTTTGTTTTAGTTTTCAACATTCACTTTCATAAGATTTAGAGTTCTAAATTTTCTACCCCTCCATTTCCTGCCCCCTCCCCAAGACAGTGTGCAATCTGATATAGGCAATACATATGCATTCATATTAAACATATTTTCACATTAGTCATGTTGTAAAGAAGAATTAGAACCAATGGGAGAAACCATAAGAAAGAAGAAACAACAACAAAAAAAGAGATAGCAAATAGTATGCTTTCATTTGCATTGAGACTCCATAGTTCCTTCTCTGGACGTGGATAGCATTTTCTATCATGAGTCTTTGGGAGTTGTCTTAGATCCTTGCATTACTAAGAAGAGCCAAGTCTATCAAAGCTGGTCATCGCACAGTGTGGCTGTTACTGTGTACAATGTTCTCTTGGTTCTGTTCACTTCACTCAGCATCAGTTCACGTAAGTCTTTCCAGGTTTTTCTGAGGTCCTCCTGTTCATCATTTGTTATCGAACGACAGGATTCCATTACATTCACATACCACAACTTGTTCAGCCATTCCTCAATAGATGGGCAGACCTAGAAGTGGTATTGCTAGGCCAAAGGGTATCGTTTCTAAAATATTTAGAGAACTGAGCCAAATCTATAAGAATAAAGTCATTCCCCAAAGTGATCAAAGGATATGAAAGGCAGTTTTCAGATGAAGAAATTAAAGCTATCTATAGTCATATGAAAAAATGCTCTAAATCACTATTGATTAGAGAAATGCAGATCAAAACAACTCTGAGGTACCATATCACACCTATCAGGTTGGCTAACATGACAAACCAGGAAAATGATAAATGTTGGTGAAGATGTGGGAAAATTGGAATATTAACACACTGTTGGAGTTGTGAACTGATCTAACCATTCTGGAGAGCAATTTGGAACTATGCCTAAAGGGCTATAAAACTGTGCATACCACTTCTAGAGCTAGAGATCTCTTTGAGATCATAAAAAAGAGAAAAGGACCCACATGTACAAAAAAGTTTATAGCAGTGCTTTTTGTGGTGGCTAAGAATTGGAAATTGCAAGGATGCCTGTCAATTGGGGAATGGCTGAATAAGTTGTGGTATATGAATGTAATTGGAATACTGTTGCACTATAAGAAATGATGAATAAGCTGAGTTCAGAAAAACCTGGAAAGACTTACATGAACTGATGCTGAGTGAAGTGAGCAGAACCAGAATATTGTGCACAGTAACAGCAACATTGTGTGATCACCAACTTTGACCAACTTAGCTCTTCTCAGCAACACAATAATCTAAGACAATTCCAAAAGACTCGTGATGGAAAATGCTACCCACATCCAGAGAAAGAACTATGGAGTCTGAACGCAGATCGATGCATACTTTTTTCTTTTTCTTTCTTTCTCATGGTTTTTCCCTTTTTGTTCTGATTCTTCTTTCACGACATGATTGACGTGGAAATAGGTTTAATATGATTGTACATATATGTAGCCTATATCAGATTGCTTGCCATCTGAGGGAGGAGGGAGGGAGAAAAAAATTGGAAACTCAAAATCTTATGCAAGTAAATGTTGAAAACTATCTTTACATGTAATTGGAAAAAATAAAATACTATTGAGTGGGGGGTAGGGGGAGGTGCGGATTAAAAAAGAAATGTACCAAGCAGTTACCCTGGCTAATCTCTTGGGCCCACTGGGCTTTCAGGTGAGTCTTTGGATAGCAAGCCAACCCAGCTTCTCTACCTGCTGGCTGTGGCCTTCGTCATCCTCCTCTTGGTAATCCTCCTGGGGGTGATCATGGCAAAACGCAAGCGTAAGCACGGCTCTCTCTGGCTACCTGAAGGATTCATCTTACGTCGGGATTCCAACAACCATACACGGCGGGAGCCAGTTGGACAAGATGCTATGGGACTGAAGTAAGAGAGTTCGCCTCCTAACTTTTCATGGTGCCAAACAGTCATAAAAACCAAAAGCAGACCTTGTTAACTTTCCGTTAACTCACTAGATCACACTAACTAACTTTCAGTGCCCACTAGATCACACTAACTTGGCGATTCAGACTGCATTGTCCTTAAGCCACAGTCACTGTCCCGGTATGTTGAATCACTATAGATAAATCTGTAACACAACTTGCTCCATTTTTTTTCCCTTTCTTTAAAAACGACAACAAATCTTGTCCCGTTAGAAGCCTGTCAGTCCAAGTTTCAGAGGGTAACTTAATTGACTCCAGCACCAGTGAACATTGGGCAGATGATGGCGCCCCCCAGCCAAAGAGAAGCAAGGTAACACAGTCATGGCGTGGCAGCTACTCTCTTGTCCCGTCCTACCTAGACTTGTTGGGGTGCTCTGCTGCTACGCTAGCAAGGTGTTCTGGTGTGTGTGATGAGGGAGAGGGGAGGAAAAGGGTCTTCTCTTGGGTGTCCAGGCAGTGTCCTACTGAGGCCGTAGTGAGGGGCAAGAGCTCAGCTGTCGGACTTCAGTCCGACAGGATCCCCGGCTCCCGCATCCCCTCAGGCCACAAAGTTAAACCTGCTGGATGAATAGTCCCATCCTGCCTTTGTTTCCCAATAGTCTTCTTTTAAAAAGTAAAGGAAAAGTGCTAAGAAGCTTAGTTTGGATACTCTGTATCTTGAACCAAGGACCCAGAGAAGGTAGAGATAGAGGGTTGGGACTACTTCCAGAAAAGAAGAGGCTCTAAGCTACATATGGAGCGAGGCTGAATGGAGATGTAGGGGATTCCAAACCCTAGTTTCTTGCTTACGTTCACTAGCAGTGGGTGTCATTTCGTTCTCTCCAGGCTGAAGATCAGGCTTTACTTTCAGAAGAAGATGACCCAATAGACAGGCGCCAGTGGACACAGCAGCACCTCGAAGCTGCAGATATTAGGAGGACACCATCCCTGGCCCTCACCCCGCCTCAGGCCGAGCAAGAGGTGGATGTGCTGGATGTGAATGTCAGGGGACCAGGTTGGTGCCATCAGGTCTCTTGTTCTACCCCAGGCAATACTTCCTCTGAGTAATCCTCTCCCTGCTTCTGCTGTTCCCCCTTTGGAAACAACTATGGAAAATGCATAGAAGATGGCGTGGGCCGACATACACCGATCCAAGGAAGAGGAGACAGATGTCCATGACTTTAAATAGAGCATATTTAGATAGAAAAGAATCCCAACCTTGAAAGACATCCCAGGGACCTGAAGAATAGTGAGTGTTTGGTGGGGAAAGGGGGAAGAGAAAGGTACAGAGATAGGAACTAGCAAGTCTTAGAAATGAGTGGGATGAGTAAATTAAACCCAAAAAAAGAGGAAGCTAGTGTTTAAGTTGAGGTGATTCTGAGATCAATTGCGTCATGGTTGGATTTTTTTTTAATTCTGCGTATGAGTTATCTTACCATTAGTATTTAAAAGCTTGGATAGGGATGGCAGTTCCCTTGGACGAGACCATTTTGATTAGTAATTTCAGCTTTATCCATCCCATTGAAGAGCTTACAGGTTGAACAAGGGTGCATACTTCTATTCCTGTCATTTCCCAAGAAAGCACCCCAGAGAAAAGTAGTAGGCAAATGTTAAAACAGTGCTGATGATTGAGTGTGAGTGGTCCAGGGACTGTCTTTTCTCAAAGTAGAATGTAGGCTCAAAAGCGTCTAGCTGTAGCAGGGTCCAGTTGAGGACGGTTTTCCATCTCCTTCAAAATACGTCTCTGAACTTCCTCCCCCCGCCCAGATGGCTGTACGCCGCTGATGCTGGCATCTCTTAGAGGAGGCAGTTCTGACTTGAGTGAGGATGACGAAGAAGCAGATGACTCCTCAGCTAACATCATCACAGACCTGGTTTATCAGGGGGCCAGTCTCCAGGCCCAGACGGACCGGACTGGAGAGATGGCTCTGCACCTTGCAGCTCGATACTCCAGAGCAGACGCCGCCAAGCGTCTCCTTGATGCAGGCGCAGACGCCAACGCCCAGGACAACATGGGGCGGTGTCCCCTTCATGCCGCAGTGGCCGCTGATGCCCAAGGTGTCTTCCAGGTAAAGCACCTGGGAGGAAAGGATTAGAGTAATCCTAAGAATGCCTCACAGTCTTATAATGCTTTAGACTTTTCAGAGCACTGTATAACAGCTTCTCTGTGAGAAAAGTAGAAGCAGATATTGTCTCCATTTTCTGTATGAGGATACTAAGGCACAAGAGAGGCATATGGAGTTCATAGCATCACATATCGTTGTTGTTATTCAGTTGTTTTTTAGTTGTGTCCGACTCTTCATGATCCCATTTGGGGTTTTCTTGACAGAGATCATGGAGCCATTTGCCATTTCCTTCTCCAGCTCATTTTAGATGAGGAAACTAAGGCAAACAGGGTAAAGTGACTTGCCCAGGGTCATTCAGGTAGTAAATGTCTGAGGCCAGGTTTGAACTCGGGAAGATGAGTCATCCCAACTCCAGGCCTAGCACTCTGTGTGTTGCATCTTACATATTATTATTAGAGCTCAAAGGGACCTTATGGACCATATAGTCCAACTCGAGTCTAGAGAAGTTATGTCTTTGTCTTGCCCGAGACCATAGATAGTAAATGGCAGATGCAGGGTTTGAACCTGACTCCAAATCCAGTGATCTCTTTACTGTGCCACCCTGCCAGCTCATCATCCTGCTGCATGATTCTGCCTCTGTCTAATGACCTTGACCCTGTCCCCTCCAGATTTTAATCCGTAACCGCGTGACAGACCTGGATGCTCGGATGCATGACGGGACAACGCCCCTGATCCTAGCTGCCCGCCTGGCTGTAGAAGGGATGGTGGCCGAACTGATCAACTGCCAAGCAGATGTTAATGCAGTGGATGACCATGGTAACATGCAGTGGGAAGGGATTGTCATTGTTGGTCCTTAATGAGAATGCCAAGGATTAGAACCTCTTGAGGAGGGCTATGTTGGTCACCGGGTGTAGACTGAATGATGCTACTAGCTTGCTTATTGATGCTTTCCATACTTACGGACTGGCTTGGCAAAGAGGCTGTAGATTCATAGCACATCTTCAAAGGACACTCGTAGTACATTCTGAGGAAGCTGGTCAGTCATCTCACCGATGTGGGGATCCAGATACTGGATACAGATTACAACCCATCCACATTCCCTCCTGCAGTGTCTGCTTCTAGTCTGTGACTCTCCATAAATTCTCCATAGGGAGCTCGCTTGTCTTTTTTGTCCTTCTTTCTCAGTACATGGCCACCACACCTCCTTTTCCAATTATACATCTTCTGGATGATGTAGGTTAAGCTGTTTCTTAGATAAAAGTCTTCATAATGAGACATAATCTTTTTAAGCCACATATCACTCCCTTGCCATCTGGGCCATCCATAATTCTGATTCTATGATTTACTGCCATATAGCATCACTAGAAAGAATACTGATGTTATAAAGACAAGTTCTTATTGGTTTGAGGGGCAGGCGGTCGCTGAAAATGCTTCACTCTGTCTCAAATAGATCTTTTCCTATTCTGGATCCAGCTCATTGTCCATACAAAATCTATTTATGAATCGACCAATTGCATTTCGTAACAGTCTGAATAGTAGGCATTCTTCATCCACTTGGTTTTTTATGTGTAGATTGTAATGCTGAGTGGTTTTGAGTGTTAGGTTTTGAGTGGTTCTAGAGCTCATTTAGAAAGTTCTGTAGTATTTGCTGAGGAGAGAGGAAATAACAACGACAATAATAATGATAATGATAACCTCTGTTTCTCGGTAAACCTTGAACATTATTCAGTGTTCAGAGAAGTGAGGCAGCTCACATATGGTCATAGACCTGAAATATCAGAGCTGTGGTTCAGTCCCGGTGTCCTTGACTCCCGTGTCCAGAGATTTTTCCTTAGGACCATCCATCCTTTCAGGACCTTTGCCTTTGTTCCACCACTGAATGCAGATCACAAACCCTCTCCAGCTTAATAGATGGTCTTGTGGAGCTGCTTTGGCTGAGAAATGGCTCACCCCATGACCACTCTGGTGATGCCTCTCTCTGGCCCAGCTAGGCCGCTTGCAGCATAGTACCTTGATGGTTGTATGCAGGACTGGCCAGCTCCTTTTGTGGCACTGGCCTAGCCACTGAGGACCGAGAATCCCCTTCCATCACTGTCACTCAGAACTGGACTTCTATGGAAGTGACCTGTCAGAGTTGGCAGCTCTGCCTGAGTTTGGAACCACTGAGCAGCTGGGCCTTGTGCCCAGGAGATTTTTTTATGCAGTTTCTAAAGCTGTCTCTGAGACCCCAGACCTGTAAGGAATGCTCCTCTGTCTTTCTGAGGTCACTAAGGCTTCTCATGCACAGCGGTATCCTTTCTGGCTGGGAGGGGGTTGTCTTCATTCATTAGGCAAATCAGGAGCACGAGCTTTCGGGTCTCTGTCTCCTTCTGAAGACACGTGTTTTTCCCCCGTGCAGGGAAATCTGCTCTCCACTGGGCAGCTGCTGTCAACAACGTGGACGCTACTTTGGTGTTGCTGAAAAACGGGGCCAACAGGGACATGCAGGACAACAAGGTACAGGCTCTGGGTCCTGAATCTGGTGAGGCTTCCAGGAATGCTCGGGACACCAAGCTTTCCTTATGCTTCATCCGGGGCTCTCTCCCTTCACTAGGCTGTAACTCTGTAGGAAAATGGAGCAGATGTGTCCAGTTTGGCCAGGGGCCCCCTGGCGGGCTGAAGGTGCTGCCCTGGCCAGGCAGCTGCCCCGTTGGAGCTTCCGTGGCCTCCTCCCCTCTCGGCCTCCCCTGGTCTTGCTGTTCTTCTCCTTCACGTTTTAGCATGACCCATCTTGGCAGGGATGGATCTCTCTCAGTCTCTGCCTCCTCTCTGTTTTCCCCTGACTCCCCTGGGGCTCTTTCTCCCTTCACCTTTCTCCTTTTTCCCCCTCTCTGCTCCTCATGCCCCTCTCACTGTTTGTTTTTGCTTTCCATGCGCTTTTCTCATTCTTGCAAACTTGCTCTTACTTTCACTGTGATGTTTGTGCGTGGTCTTCTCTGCTTCTTAGCTGGTGCAGTTATTTTATTCCTGCTCTGGGCGCTCCACCCCGGCTCTCACCTCCCTTTCGCTTAGAACCCTCAGACTGTTAAGCACATAGAAGTGTTGGACAGATTCTTGGTCCACACTGGCCTGGATCACCAAGATGTTCCTTCATGGGTCCTGTTAAAACATGCCCTGTGTGGGGGGCCTTTTCTTTTTTCTTTACAGGAAGAGACACCTCTTTTCCTTGCTGCTCGAGAGGGGAGCTATGAAGCAGCCAAGATTCTGTTGGACCATTTTGCCAACCGGGACATCACAGACCACATGGACCGACTCCCCAGGGACGTGGCCCGAGACCGCATGCACCATGACATCGTGCGTCTCTTAAACGAGTACAATGTGGCCCACAGTCCTCCTGGCACCATGCTGACCTCAGCCCTCTCACCTGTCATCTGTGGACCCAACAGATCTTTCCTCAACCTGAAACACACCCCTGTGGGCAAGAAGCCCAGGCGCCCCCATGCCAAAGGCACCGTGCCCACCAGTCTACCCAGCCTTGCCAAAGAGGCCAAAGATTCCAAGGGTGGGCGGAGGAAGAAGTCTCTGAGTGACAAGGGCCAGCTGTCTGAGAGCTCAGTGACCCTCTCCCCGGTTGATTCCCTGGAATCTCCTCACACCTATGTTTCTGATACCACATCTTCTCCCATGATCACATCACCTGGGCTCTTGCAAGCATCGCCAACCCCAATGCTGGCCACTGCTGCACCACCTGCACCAGTCCACACCCAACATGCAGTGTCTTTCTCTAACTTACATGAGATGCAGCCTCTAGCCCATGGGGCTAACACAGTACTCCCCTCCGTTAGTCAACTGCTGCCCCATCATCACCTCGCGCCACTGAGCAGTAGCAGTGGTGGAAACTCGGGCAGGCTACACCCAGTCACTGTCCCAGCTGACTGGATGAGTCGGATGGAGATGAATGAGACCCAGTACAATGAGATGTTTGGAATGGTTCTGGCTCCAGCTGAGGGGGCCCACTCTGTCTTGGCACCACAGAACCGGCCAGGGCAGCCTGATGGGAAGCACATAGCCACCCCCCGAGAGCCACTGCCCCCCATCATGACTTTCCAGCTGATCCCCAAAGGCAGTATTGCCCAACCAGCTGGGGCTACCCAGCCACAACCCAATTGCCCTCCAGCTGTTGCTGGCCCCCTCCCCACTATGTACCAGATTCCTGATATGGCCCGCTTGCCAAATGTGGCATTTCCCACAGGCATGATGCCCCAGCAGGATGGACAGGCAGCTCAGACTGTCCTCCCATCCTACCACCCGTTCCCAAGCTCTGTGGGTAAGTACCCCACACCCCCATCACAGCACAGCTATGCCTCCTCAACCGCTGCTGAGCGGACGCCCAGCCACAGTGGCCACCTACAGGGCGAACACCCTTATCTGACACCATCCCCAGAATCTCCTGACCAGTGGTCTAGTTCATCCCCTCACTCTGCCTCTGACTGGTCAGATGTGACCACTAGCCCTACTCCTGGGGGTTCGGGTGGAGGCCAGCGAGGGCCTGGGGCACACATGGCCGAGCCCCCACCACGCACCAACATGCAGGTATATGCATGAAAGAGGGTGACCACCCAGTGCTGGGACTGAACTGACGGGCATGTGGTTAGTGCTGCTGATGAACAAAATGAAGGTCGTCCAGGATGGAAATGAAGAAACTTTTGGAAATTGGGCTCCTAGAGCAGGACAAAGAGGGGCTTTCTCTGCCCCTCTCAGATGTTAAATGGGAGATGTCAGTCATCATTACCTACCCATTGGGGGGCACGTGTATTCCTTTGAAGTCATGGTTTCTTCCTCATACCCTGCCAACCAAGACATTTGGGAATGAAAATTGTCCATTGATGTCATGTATATTCTTTCCCCATTGGGAACCCACCGGTTTTATTGGTTACAGTATGTCCTTTTTCACAGCTTGGAATCTTGAAATATGTGTGAAGCCCTAGGTTCCTGCCACTTCTGTTGAATCGACCAAAAGTCAAAAGTCCTCTCTTGGGAACTTATGTCTTCCCATTAGGCCTAAAATGACTTTCCTCACTTTATCCTTCGAAATTCCTTTCCCTTCATTTGGTGCTTGCGTTTCTGCACCTTCTTATCGTAGTTCTCATGCCACGTGTCTTATCTGTGGTTTGGCCACATCTGTATATGTTATAGAACTATATGTATGTATTTAATGCTTTTAATCGTTCCTACCCAGGAAGGTGATTTTAGTCTTCTCTTTCCATATTCATTTCCAGATGCCCCCAGGAGCCTCACAGGGTTTGTTTTGGTTACAATTCTCACCACTACTTTTCAAAGTGTGTTTCTTCAAGGAATGTACATATACCATTCTACTCATTGTATTTTAACCAGAGGGAGAATGGAAGGTTGTTATGTTTTTATTGCAAGGGTGATTAAAATTTCTCCCATTCTCCTATCTGCTTTCCAGTGTCAGCCACCTTCAGTGGAGAGAGTGGCCAGGACAACATAGGTACATTGAATTATACAAAGACAAGAGGAGAAATGACTCCTTGTCACTTCTGGGATGTCTGCATCCAGTAGGTAGTTGGCCCTGTTATTAAGTTTCCAAGTTTTTTACTCACTGCCAGTGGTGAAACTTGAGGACTCTTCTGTCATATTCTTCTTCTCCTATGTTTCATCTTCCAACTAAAAGTACTCTATCAAACTCATAGCTGTTGGGCTCTTCCTACTGCTCACCTCTTCATGAAGAAGCCCCAGGTCTTATTCATCACCCTGTTGAGTGACCTCATTGCCCAGTGCTTAGCGCAGTGCTCCCTTCATAATCTCTCTGGTTCCAGATTCTTATGCTGGCCTCGCTCCTACATTTAGTTGTCCTAATCTGTACATACCATAGAAGTTCTCCACACCTCTCCAGAAAAAAGTGGTCTTTCCTCAGCCCAGTCCAAAAATTTGTAACATGAACCTTTTGGTAGAGTGTTGGGCCATAGCAGCTGGCCTTTTCGGAGACGCCTCAAATTCATTAGTATCTGTTTTAAACAAGTAGAACATCCCTTTTTGAAGACTAGTATCCAGCCTTTCTGAAGGACCCTTCTTTCATGGATGCTGAGAACAGCAAAGGTATTTGCTGTCGTGGCTTTCAGATTGTGATTTCACCCCCATTGGGTTAATTTCTTTTAATTCTCTAGGTCTGTCCCAATTTTACTCTTGTCGTGCACGGACAGGCCATCCAGCCTCAATCGTTGACCAGACACTTAGACCCTCCTCATGCTGTTCACCAGGTTACTATCATGATTGTCAGCCATAGGTGTAGGACTAGGAATATTTGGAGAGTTGTTCTTCCATCTGGCTAGACGAGTCAGCTGATCACTGATCCTACCTGTAAAGCTGTACCATCATCTTCACATTTCCAGAGACCACTGGGAATTCATTCTTCCAGGTCACTTTGTTGGTGTCATTCATTACCAAATTATCCATTTGGTAATAACTGCAGTGCTTATTCCTGCCAAGCCCTACAGGCATTTTTGGGACTGACTACACAGGAGTCTAAAGTATCTAATATGGTTTGATGTGGAAACCTGCCCATCATGGACAGTTATGGCAATAGCAGATGGCCAGAAGGGTCCTACTAAATTGAACAGAAACACTTGGAGCCACCAAATTCCATTAGCTCTGTTTTAAGCCGTGAGAGACTAAACAAACCCCTGCTAGAATGAGAAGACCTTCAGCTAATTTTCTCTACCTTTCAAAGTCATCAATGGAAAGTTCTCAAACGGTGAATATCTTTTTTATTGGTTTGTTTGGTTTATTCTGCTTAGACAGTGTCAGAGGCAACTTGATAATTGCTTTATTATTTACCTGCTTTAAGGGACTACATTGGTACTTCATCTGGAATGATTCAGATGATTCCAAACCATTCCCAGATAAATGAGCCTAAATGAAAATTAATAGGTTCCTACATTTAGGCCATAATTAATCTACTTTCCCTGTCCACTACTGTTTAACTTTCTGCCACCAAAAGTACCAGCAATTGTAGAAGCCCATTAAAAGAATATAGATAAGCCTGTTTTTTCCTCCTTCCTTGAGAGCCCCATGTTTGAGGTCTCAGAGTTATAGAAAGAAGAATGTAAAGGTTAATTGGCACTCAAAAGAAACAAGGGTCCCCAGCAGTGAAGAGAACACTGCCTGCCATCAATTTTAACTCCTTTTTAGTTGTTCAAGATCCCTTCTACATATAATCAGAAGGTGTTTCAGGATGTGAGAAGATTGAGAGACTATTTTTCTGCTATTCTTTGACTTGGTTTTTGTGAGGACTGATTTCTTATAGAACACAATTACCTGTGCTATGTGTAGGGTGCGATTTTAAAATTCTGATGGTTGAACCTCCTTTCCTCCTGCCCCAAAGGGCAGGGATTTTGCAGCAGCCAATTCTGACCTACATTTTGAGGGGACTTGAATGGGAAGAAGAAACTGTAAGTTGCACATAATGGGGGCAAATACTCAGTGATTGCACTGCTTAGGTACAATCCACGATCTTTATTAATGTTTTTCTGCAGTAATGAACCAAAGGTATAATGTTCTTTAGCCTTAAGAACTGAAGTACATTGAATGTATGGCAACCAGCTGGGGGGAGGGATGCATTTGCGTACCCTGTTGTCTGTGTGCCCCTGGATAGTTTCCTGGTACTATGTTGTCCCTTTCTGTCCCTGTCTCCCTTGCTTCCCACTGTTAAAGGGGGTATGATGTCTCTGTTGTATGAAGAACTCATAACCATTAAAATGACCGCATTTTCCTGGTTACAGTCAAGAAGATGCATGCCTTGTTTTTACTTTTTTAAGTTTTACTCTAAAAGTAGTTATGAGATTTATATGAAAACATTTTTATCACAAAATAAAAAGCTTACATGTCACAGTTCATGTGGCTTTGCATTTTTCTGTTGTTAATTCCTGTTCCCTTGGGTTTTCTATAGCCCTGATGACAGACAGGTTCCTAAGAGAGAGGATACACATAGTGCTGCCTTTCCTGCCCACGACAGGAGCCAGTGGAAGGCCATATTAGAATTCTATGTCCTGTTCCTTTAATTTCAGACAAAGTACATTTCACTTGAAGTGAAAAATGCTCCCCTAATGGAAGGGACTAACATATGGCAAGCTTTCTTGATGTTGTCTGATTTACAGTCATATCTTGCCATATAGGAAAGTGGAACGGCTACCATAGATACCATTGGAGACTTAAACGTCAACATGTAGTGGGAACTGGGAAGGGCAAACATAACTGTTCTCCACCAAATATTCTGTGGGATGGTTTGAGAAGGAGAGAAATTAAGACAAGTGCCAATAATAAGGAAAAAAGGAAGCATGGACTCCAAATAGAGAAAAATCTGGCATGTGGAGGAAGTCACAGGTTGATGGTGAATGGAGAGAAACAGGAGAACAGAAAATGAAGGCAAAGGTAAGAATGGAAAGAGTAAGTAAAGGGACAAGCTCTCTTGACCCCATGCCCACCATTTGGGAACTTTTATGGAGTTCAATATGCCTTATTATTGAGGGGGGCTATAAAATCCAGTAAGTCTTTGGAGTAAATCTGGGTCTCCAAACTGGAGAAATTCCCTAAACTGAGGAATTGAGATGCACACTGAGCACTGACATTTCCTTAAGACATGGATTCATCCAAATAACAACCAGACTAAATAAATAGTAATAATGTCTAAGACAGAAGGCATTAAAGAGAAGCAAGCAGCCACACTACTGCCTCGGATATCTTCTGGATGGTAGATGAAACCAACCTCCTCATGAATTTAAGCAGCCAGATACTTGTAGATGAGAACATTGGCTAGAATAAAGTAGGAATGAGTCCTTTAACCTCTGTTTGCCTCAGTTTCCTCATCTGTCAAATAGGGATAATAATAGCATCTACTTTTCAGGGTTGTTATGAGCATCACATGAGGTAATGTTTGTAAAGTGCTTGGCACAGTGCCCAGCATATAGTAAGCACCATATAAATGTTAGCTATTATTATTGATGTTAACATTACAAGATGAGATAGGATGGAAAGTTGGAGGAATTTTAAAGTGAATAGTAGAAGAGTACATTTAAATTAAGTTTTCAAGTGTTGGCATTTCAGTGTACTAGAAGCAGAGGCCTGGCCAGCAAACCTAGGTGTTGAATAACTTCTGTTCTCTTCCATCTCTGCCATTATTGTGGGCTAAGCAATATTGACTTTTATATGCTTCAGATTCTAAATCTGTAAGGCATGTAAGAGTTGTGACCTGTGGCTTACCTGGAGAGTCCCTGAAGGTTTCAGAGAGCATATGCTTGATCCTTCCAGTGAAAAAATGGTAAGTTATTGATTTTTGAAGGTTCAATAGTTACTTCAGGTCCTTAGATCTGGTTCTTACCTTCGATGGTATAATAATTTCTATAGAACTTAACAATTTCCCAAGAGTTTTCCCATTAACATTTCATCCTTAGAAATACTAAGAGAAAGGCAAAAAAGGGGGAGAAAACCTAATGCAGCTGCCCAAAGTGTGCTGTTTAATGACCTTATTCCAAATAACAGTATCCTTTGCAAGAGAATTGAGAAAATTCACAGAAAAGGTGGGTCTCACCTCTAGAAGCCTCCAGTTCCTTTGCCCGATTTCTTTCCATTGAGGATCTGTCACATAAATGGATTTCATCATGTCCTGATTCTCCTTCACATACCAAGTATGTTTCCTTTTTTCCATCAGCGTTGTAATAGTCACTTGAGACCGTTGGAAACTGATGGACTCTCTATCTCACATTACTTTCTACTCCATAGGTGACTGAATAGTGATTTGGTGCTTACTATTAGGAACTGGGTCTATAATTTCAATAACAGATAAAACTCTGATATAAGGAAACTCCCTCTACCAACTTGCAACTTGTAGTCTTAGTGTTAACAAAAGTTTACAAAATCAAGTGACCTGCCCAGAGTCACAAAGCCAGTAGAGGTATTAGAGGCAGTCCTTGAGTCTGGGTCTTCCTGACTGGAGCCAGTTCTAACTACTATGGCATGCTACCTTAGATGATCCAAAGGGCTAATTACAAAATTCTATACTTGATTTTTGTTTAAATCAGCATTGTAAGTATAGGAAGGAAGAGGTGTATGTATGGCTGGACAGCAGAGAGGTTTAAGGGACTGCAAGCTCAGTATAAATCAACATAATGATAGTCCAAAAAAATATAATAGATCATTAAGGTACACTGAAAAGCAGACAGGGTCCAGGAGAAAGGAGGCAAGCATCAGGCCGTGCCCTCTGTTGTTCAGACCAGATCTGGAGTACTGTCTTCAAGTCTAGAATTTCTAAAGAAAAATATGTACCTCCAGAAGAGGTAGAATAATAAGAGTAGGGAGGAGACTAGAGACCACTCCACTTAAAGAGGATTGGGTGAAAGAACTGGGGATGTTGATTTGGAAGAAGACTTGGAGCACATGATAGCAGCCTTCAAGCAGTTAAAAATTGTCATTGGACAAATTTTTCCAGCTTGATGTTAAAGTTTGTCCCAACCAGTAGAAATGGGGAGAAATTCCAGGGAAGCTTTGGCTCAGTCATCAAAAATGCATAGTTAGAGTTGTCTGAAAGTAGAATAGACTTTTGTAGTATGTAATGAGCTTTGCCTCAGAGAAGGTCTTTTATAAAAGGGTTAGTTAACTTGTCAGATATGTTGTAGAAGGGATTTATGTTCAGGCATGAGTTGGACTCCGTGGCCTCTGAGGTCTTTTTTAACATTGAGATTTTGATTCCATGACTCAGATCCCCCAGATCCCAGCATTATTGTTAAAGTGATTATTAGTAATACATATCGATAGCAAAAGACAAACAGAGTAAATCTATGAAAAAGCATTTCTTAATCACCTACTATGGGCCAGGCACTATGCAGGATGCTGGGAATACAAAAATTAAAATGAAAATAGTCCATCCCTTCAAGAAAGTAACAGTCTAGCTGGGGGAGACAATGTGTAAATATAAGTACATAAAAATAGATAACAAAGTGATTTAGGGAGGAAGGTGCTAGCAACTTGGAAGATGGGAGGGGCAGGGAGATCAGAAAAGGTCTGATCCAAAGGATGGTATTTGAACTGAGCCTTGAAAGGGGTGGGGGGGCAGGAAGATTATAGGAGGAAGGGGGAGAGAGAGAGAGAGAGAGAGAGAGAGAGAGAGAGAGAGAGTCAGTCGCTTGGAATTTTCCTATCAATTCCACTAGCTAACACCAATAATCCAGAATGAATTAAGAGACAAGGCTTTATTACATCCTGGTCACCAGCCATTGATGAGGAATGTGTCATTTCAAAATTCAGCAAGCAATATGTATAGAGTATATGAAACAAAGAAAAAAGATGCCTAATGCATCTGGCCATATAAAGGGAAAAAAATAGTATGCATGTTAAGGAAAATGTGTATCATAAGCTACAGGAGACAAATGAGACATGTGTCCTTGTTAGGATAGCTAGTTTCACTAAATCAACAGGAACTAGCTGTCAGGCAAGATAAGGGAGGGGGGACATTCCAGGGACTCCGAAATCCTTCTTTTCTAGTTAAGTCTTTTGCACCTACTAGAAGGTGAAAGAAGACACTGGAGGAAAGCAGCTACTGCATCTGGTCTTGCAGTTCATGCAAGTATCATATACATCAATATGGTTGATATAGAACAAAATGGAGTCCGTTATGTTCTCCCAGAGATTCACTTTGAATGAGAGGAGGGTAGAGAGAGAGAAAGAAAGAGAGAAGTGGGGAAGGGAGAGAGGAAAAGAGTGGGAAGTAGGAAAAGATGGCAGGAGAGGGAGAGAGAGAGAGAGAGAGAGAGAGAGAGAGAGAGAGAGAGAGAGGGAGAGAGAGGGGGGAGAGAGAGAGAGAGATGGAGAGACAGAGAGAGAGGGAGAGGAAGGGAGAGACAGGGAGAGGGTGAGAGAGGGAGAGAGAAGGATGGGGGTGGAAAGAGAGAAGGAGAGAGAGAGAAATGGAGAAATGGAGAGACAGTGAGCACCATCTTGCCCTGTAAATATGCCATCCAGATCCCCATGCACTGTTATATGGCCTGCCAACACACCCTAAAGACCCTTGGGCCTTACCATTTGCTCTACTGATGTATAGCTACTTCATCCTGAAGCTGAATTCTTTTACATGTATCGTCTCCCCAGTTAATGACAGCACATTGAGAGAAGAGACCGTCCTACTTTCCTCTTAGCACTTAACGCAATGCTTGGCACATGATAAGCCCTTAATAAATGCTTTTTCATTGTTTTTCTTTGAATAAGGCTGAAAAGACCTATTGGGAACAGAGTACAGTCTTTTGATCTTGAAACTTTGGGGAAGTTACTGGAGTTCACTGAGTAGGGCAGTGGAAGGGTCAGACTTGCTCATTAGGAAAATCAATCTGGCAGCTCTGTGAAGGATGACTTGGAGAAGAAATGGACTTCACAAGGCAGGGAGGCCAGTTAGGAAGCTGTTGGCATATTCTAAGCAAGAGGTGATGAGGTCCCGAACTCAGGTGGGGGCCATGTGAGTAGAGAGAAGGAGAAGGATGAAAGAGTGGTGGAAGTGGGGATGACAAGAGTTGATGGCTGCTTAGCTAATGTGGGGTGAGAGCGAGGACCTCCAGGATGAACCTTGGGTGACTAGAAGGATGGTGGTGCCCTGGATAGAAACAGCAAAGTTCAGAAGAGGGATAAGTTTGTGGGAAAACATAACAAGGACCAAAACATTACATACTCACAGAACTCAAATATGAATTGAAATTGTGTGTGTGTGTGTGTGTGTGTGTGTGTGTGTGTGTGTGTATTCCATCACTTCCTATTTCCTTTCCCACTTGCCCAAGATTTAGGTGACATGCCTTGTATTTGTAGGGTGATTTTTAAAATGTCTCCCCTGTATTAACATTCCTATTACAATTGAA